CCCCGCCGGGCACAGGCGCAGTGTGAGGTCACAGCCGGCAGGACCCCTGCCGGGGATGAGCTCGGCGAGCCGGGCCGGCGGCTTGCAGGGCGGCGAGCCCCCCGCCGCGGGCAGACCTTCGCGGGACCGCGGGCCCCTGCAGGTAGGGGGAAGAGGGTCCAGGGAGCGCCAGGCGGTGTGTTAGAACGGGGGAGGGCCAGAGCTCCCGAAAGGGAACTTGTCCGCAAGGCCAGTTGGATCATCGGAGAGGCGGGGGAGCAAGAAGGAAGCCAGTCCTCTGTGCGGAGGAAAAATCCGGTATGTTCGGGAAAAACCCAGTGTCGCAGGAGCGCTCAGTGCTTAGCGCTTCGCTGGGGCGGGGGCGTGAGGAACCAGCCTGCGGAGTTCGCGCTGATACTGGGAAGAGAAGGCACGGCGCTACACGCTAGAGTGCTGCCGGGCTGTGTCCAGTTACGGGGAAAATGCAAAGTGCCATAAAAGTGGAGCAGAGACGATGACCTGGCCTGGTGGGAAAATGCCCCGCCGGAAAGGAAACTTGTCCTTACATCGTGGCTTTGGACCTGTTGAGAGAGCAGAATTTTTTTAGGCAGGGAAAACCACAGGATTTGAAGGCTTCAGGATGAGGGGAAAGTGTTTCTGGGGGAACTCGGGGCAGGTTTTTGGGGGTTGCTTTGTGGAAAAATAGGAAATAAAGTTGGCGTCAGATGGGGGGACTTCTGAATGGTGTCCATTCACTTCCCCCGCTCCCGCATAGTAAGGGTGTGCTGTACGCACATTGGAAAAGCTAGGACCTCTGTCCTCGGAGAGCTGAGAGTCAGACTGTGGAGACAGATTTAACCATCATGCACATGTGAAATGTGCCTTGAAGGAATAACAGAGAGTTTACCAGGAGTATGACTTCTATGGAAGATTCGGAGAAGGTGTTGCTGAGGCTCTGACCACCTGAGATTTGAAGGCGGGATATGAAGGGAGGAGGGAAAAGAACACTCCGGGCTGGGGAAGCAGTGTGTGTCAAGGCCTTGGGGTCTGGGCAGGAGTGAAACTTGGTAGTCGGAGCAGGAGAGTGGGTGTGTGGAGCTTCCAGGAGAGAGAGGCGGTGGGGAGAGCTGGCTTTTACCTTAAAGGCAGAGGGAAGCTGTGGAGATCACAGGCCGCAGACTGAGTCACACTGTGGCGCTGAGGAGATGGCTTTGTGGAGAACGTGGAGGTGTCAGGAATGAACTAGGGGGACCAGCTCAGGGACCACTGTCACGGTCCACAGAAGGAAAGGCTCCAACGTCACCCTTCACGCTCCACCAAGGAGTTAAGGAGCGTGTTTAGCCATACGCAGCTGGAGAGGGCTAAGGAGCTGGGGACGGGGGAATGATGAGATTTTATTTCCCACCTCCCTGAGTTTAGTTACACCTCCTTCGTAAGTGTCCCAGAGTGCATACATGGGGGAGATGGCTCATCTTGGCCTTGGTGGGAGATTCCTTGCAAAGCTTTGTTTTGGTTTTTCACAGGTACTTTTTAATATTATCTGTTTCAGAATAGTGCTGGGCGTGGTGGCGCACGCCTGTAATCCCAGCACTGGGAAGACTGAGGCAGGAGGATGTTGCGAGTTTGAGGCCAGCCTGGGCTATGACGTGACCTCAAGGCCAGGCTGAACTGCACAGCGAGACCCTCAAAAACAAACCCACAAAACACAAACCCACAAAAAGCACAAACCCACGAAAAACAAAACCAGGATAGCTCTCACTGACATACGGTCAGCTGCAGGGAGGACTCAGTTACCTTTCACGTTTGTTTCGCACTCACAGGTCTTTGGGGATGGTGGGAAATGCCATTCTGAGTATAGACAGGAACCTGGCAGGACCCTTGGAGGCAGAAGCTGGGGTAGCGTGGTTTGCCTGATTCCGGCATAACTTCTGTGACTTCCACCAGAATCACATCTGGAGAGAAGGGTGCGTTTTTTCTTTGATGTGGCATTTTTGGTGAGTCTTGTCGAGTAGGACAGCTCCAGGGAGTTCGATGATGGTGGGCTGTGCTTTAGAAACCATTTTCCTGTGAGCTGGAGTGAAACACTTCCATTCGGTGTCTCGCTGGGGAAGGTAAGAGCGGCAGAGTAGCTGGAAGTGCTCAGGGTGTTTCTCACAGTTCTCTGGCAGTCAGCGAGTCTCGAATTGTGCTGAAGACTGAGCCCCAGCGTTGTGCCGAGACTGTGGGATCTTTGTCCTGTCGGTGGACCTTCCAGAGGCTGGATAGAAGAAACAGTAGTGGGCTCTGACGAAAGGCTGGTGACTAGTAGGTAAGTATAATCCTGCTTTTAAAACTGAGCAGTAAATACTGATGGTTTATTTTTCGGTGAATAACTCTTAGGAGTCTTATTTATATTACTTTTTAAACTTCACAGAATCTTTTGGGCCTCAGAAGGCCCAAAAGTCTGATTCTTTGGTTGGTTCAACTTGTGACATAATTCCATTGTCAAAGAGAAAAGCGCGGACACCAAGATGACCCTTGCCAGGAGGGACTCCTTGCAGGCCACGAGTGCAAAGCAGACAGGCTTCCTTTAGAGCTTGATTTTGCCTAGAAGTAACAACAGTGTCGACTGAGTACTTCCCAGTTAGATTTTCGTTCTTACACATGCTCTGATCTGTCTGCAGGATGCATCCTTTTCACCTTTCAGATGTGAAGTTACTTGTCATTTGGTTATAAACTAATTCGTGTTAGATGTTTATTTTGCAGTGTTTTTAAAATGTAGAGCTGGGGGTGGTGGTGGCACACACCTGTAATCCTAGCACTAGGGAGACTGAGGCAGGAAGATCGCTGCAAGTTTGAGGCCAACCTGGGCTACATAGTGAGTTCAAGGACAGCAAGACTTTGTCTAAAATTAATTAATTAATTAATTAATTAATCTTTTTGAGACAGGGTCCTGCTATACAGGCCAGGTTGGCCGTGAACTCACTTTGTAGCACAGGCTGGTTTCGAACTCACAACGATCCTCCTGCCTCAGCCTCCCGAGTGCTGAGATTACAGGTGTGTGCCACCACGCCTGGCTCTTTGTCTAAAATTTAAAAACCAAGACCAGACAGTGACACAGAAATTGTTAGTATGGTGGTGTCCTTGGAAAGGGCTCAGGCAATGCACCTGAAAATAAAGTTTTCTGTTGACACGAGTGATCCTTGGAACTAGAAATTTCCAACTATAGTTTTGATAGTGAGCAAAATTCTTTTCCAGTGGGAAATCTACTCTTAGCCTTACACCATTGTGCAGCGGTGTTATACGGGAGGAGTCAAGTGGATAGCAGAGGAGAGGCGCTTTGGTTCCGTCTGGGAATAAAACACAGAGCCTGTACATCTGAAATGCTGGTGGGAGGTGTGTGCAAATAAGATGCCCCATGAATGCAGGCAGAGTAGCAGGTGCGTTAACTTAACCTCAGAGGCTCTCTTCCGGCCCAGCCTCTAGTTCAGCATCTCTGCAGGGGGAGCTGTTGGTGTTTTGGACAGGATGTGTAGCGCTGCGCCCACCGCTGCCTGCCGTAGCTTCCCATCCATCTCCACTTCACGGGGAAGAGGGCTGCCATTTGGGGGCAAAATGTGCAGGTGATGGGATCAGTTTTTTCTTTTTTTTTTTTTTTTTAATTTCTTTTGGGAGAGAGATTGAATGTTGTTACAGAGGCTTAGAGTAATATTGTAACAGATTCAGTTTTTGATTTTTTTTTTTGTACCAGGACTCTAACTCATCACCTCATGCTTACCAGGCAGGTGCTGTGCTGCTGAGCTGTATCCCCAGCAGTTTTTGATGTTTTAATGCACCTTTTTCAGTACAGAAACTACAGTGTTTGTGGAACTTCTCTGTTGCAAAAACTGCATAAATAGCTCAAATAGATAGATCCCCTTTCATTCTAGTTTTTTTTTTTTTCTTTTTGGTTTGAGACAGGTTATTGCTATTAGTTCGTGCTAGCCTCATACTCAGGGCAGTCCTCCTGCCTCAGCCTTCAGAGTGCTGGGATTACAGGTATGCAGCACCATGCCCGGGCCCCTTTCAGTCTAATAAAACATGCGGCCTTCAGCAGGTCCTTTCCGTAGTCGCCCCTTCTTTGCAGCTGGGGCCGAGGACACAGCCTCGCTCCGCTTACTGGCGTGCCCGTCCCTGCACACGGCACATAGCACAGTTCAGTAGCTGCTTGAGAGTCTCAGGCTGATGGGACTGGGGGAAATGAGCTTTTAAAGTCTGATGTGCTGGGTTCCGCCTGGAACACAGGGTAGGGGAGATGCCCCCTGCAGCGGGAAGTGATGTTGGGTCCAGTCATACTTACACATGACCGCTCCAAAAGAAAAGGGAAGTAGTGTTCTGGGAGCCATGAGTGTAAATCAGGGGATCCCCAGGCAGGCTCGGAAGGACTGACTTGCTGTCCGGGTCACTGCTGAGTCTGTGTGCAGAGAGGGCACAGCTGGGCATGGAGAAGTCTGATGATGAGGCCCAGTCATGCCCTGCCCGCCCGGTGGCCTCCATGGCTGCGTCTGCCCCTTGGGCTGGCCTTGCTGGAAACATCCAGAAACTCCCACCGTGCTTCCGTGACTCCTTCCCCACCTCTGCCCACACTGCCAGCCTTGACGGGCATCGGTGTGAAAAAAGGCTTTCCTCATAAGGTTTCTTTCTTGGAAGTTGTGGGATGAAAGTGGTAGTTTGTAAAATACATCCAGTAAAGACCAGGTTTTGTTTTGTGTTTAAGTGTACTGGCGGCATGAAATTCAGGTAGTCTGTTTGTTTTTTGTTTTTTTTTCCGGTACCAGGAATTGAACTCACAGCCTTGGGCTTGCCAGGCAGGCGCTGTGCTGCTGAGCTGAATCCCCAGCCCTAAATTCAGGTAGTCTTTAGTAGGATATAGAGCATTTAAAAGTAGTAATTTCATTTGCAAATGGAACATGCAGAAGTTAAGATTTATTTAATGAAGATGTGAGCTCCGACAGTTTTAAACTTCAGTTCTGTGAGGGTCATGGAACTGCTCCTTGAAAGGTAAAATCCCCCTTTTAGTTATTGGGAAGGTGAAGCAGCTGCATTGTGAGCAAGCCCCTCCCACACTCGCATTTGAGCTGCTGCTATTTGCAAAGGTAAAATTTGTACATTCAAAGAAGAAATAGCCAGTTGTATAGTGTTAAAGATTTTAGGGCAGGATGTGGCATGTGTTACAGTGACTGGCTTGTACAGCTTGTACAGCTGTTCCTGATACCCATTCTGGGTTGGAGTTGATCTGTGGAAGGCTGCGTGGTACCTCAGTGACACCCTGGTTATGCCTCTTCTTCCTGTTGAAAGAAGCTGGTTCAGGAGACCTGCTGTCGGGAGGGCCGTGGTTCCGGGCCTTTTCCTGCTACGTGGGGTTCCGCGATGCAGGATGTGCCCGTGCCTTGTGTGAAGTGGAAGCGTCTGCCGGTGGCCCTGGGGATAGTGGAGATCACCTGAGCTCCCGAGCGAGCTGTGTAGTTACTCTGCCCCTTGTGGGAGTAAGCAGAAGCGTCTGCACAGACAGCACCCTCCCCCGCACGTTCATTGTGTGGTCACCTGGGTCCTCAGAGGCAGACCGGTGGCTTTGAGGCCCCGGGACCAGGAAGGAAGCTGCTCTTTGGGAGAGCACCGTCTGGCGCGCTGTATCGTGGTTTAGCCCAACGCTGAAGGCTGACTGCGCGTTGGCTTCTTGAAGGCATTTAAAGGACCTGGGTGTTGGAGCTTTGGGTGCTGTCCTTGTCTGTGGTCGCCTGTGTGGTCAGGCTCAGACCTTCCCCTGCAGGAGTGGTGCTAGTGGGCCCCCTGTCCACAGTCAGCACCCCTCCTTATTCATTCATTTATTTACTTAATTTTTGTGTTTTTGAGACAGGGTCTCACTATGCGGTTCAGGCTAGTCTTGAACTCACGTTGTAGCCCAGGTTGGCCTTGAACTTGCAATAATCCTCCTGCCTTAGCCTCCTGAGTGTCAGGATTATAGGTGTGCACCACCATGCCTGGCTATTTTAGTTTCTTGAGACAAAGTTTTGCTATGCAGTTTAGACTGACCTTGAGCTTACTTTGTAGCCTAGGCTGGCCTTGAACTCAGATTGATCCCCCTGCCTCAGCCTCCTGAGTGCTGGGATTACAGGCATGCACCACCATGCCCAGCAAGCACCTTTCGTTTAAATTCCTGTGTTATTGTTTTTATTTTATATTTCTATCAGTTATGGTAGGAAAATAGTTTGCAGCCTTCAGATTCCCAGAAGTGAGAGATACAGTCCTGGGTTTTGGGCACAGGTATACCTTTCTTTTCTCCTTTCTTGCAACTTCTTCCATTTTGAAAAAGAGTTGTTACTATGTAAAAAAGAAATCCAACGGCAGCGTGCTTACGACAGTCAGCGTTTAAGCCTGTGACTGTGTTCTCTGTGTCTGCTCCGTTCTGCCGAGGTTGCTGTTACCTTGGCATTGCGTGGCCCTGCCACGTGCATGGGGTGCCTGGCCGTTGGCTTGCCGGGCGGTGCGGGGGAAGAGCAGGCAGAAAGCCTCGATGTGTTTTGTGTACTCTGTGACACAGCTGCTGAAAGATGACTTTAACTTACTAAATTGTTCTGTGAAGTGGCGCACGCCAGGTGCCTCTTCTTTAGCAAGTGAGCATTTCCGTGTGTGCAGGGCGGCAGGAGCGTCTGCAGGAGCGTCTTCGCAGGCGCGCATCTGTAGGCAGCGGAGATACTTTCGTTGCCTGTTGCTGCCGCCCCCACCCGCCAGGTCGCGCCCGCACAGGTGGCGGCCGAGCATGGCATGGGTTGGATTGGCCTGACTGTGACTGGAGGGCTGGAGGCCGAGCGGCGCTGCGCGGTGCCCTCCCCGCAGGTTCTCACGTCACCAGCTCAGTGGAATCATGAGAAATCCCGCTAAAAATGACAGAGCTGGAGAAGGTTCGGGCGCCCTTGAGGCCGTGTTCCCTGCCGTCCAAGCCCCTTGCTGCCTGTACCGACCTGACCCCCAGGTCCTTCACTCTTGGGGCTGCTTTTTGCAGCTCAGAACCTCCCACACTCCGGGAGTTGGAGCACCAGAACATCCTGCGAGGTTGCGGACGCGACACGCGCCGAAGGCAGCCGAGTGGGGTCGGCGCTTGCCTCTGCGCAGTCAGCGTGGGTCCCAGTGGGCCAAGAGGGACCGGCGTGTGCCAGTGGCCCTGGCGTGCCTGCGGGTGGGCTTTGGGAGCACGGTTTTCTTACGGGAAGTTTTCTTACAGGGAGCTGTTGTTGTTGGGACAGGCAGAGCAGTTGCTCTGGGAAACGGTCTGGGAGGGGCAGGGATGGA